TACTGGTAATAATAGTACTTGTAATAATAGTACTAGTAATAGTACTAGTAATAGTAGTACTAGTACTAGTAATAGTAGTACTAGTAGTAGTAGTAGTACTAGTAGTGGTAGTAGTAGTAGTACTAGTAGTGGTAGCACTAGTAGTAGTAGTGAACCCTCGCCTAACGAACGCATCACATAACGTTAAATCCACCTAACGAAGCATTTGAACTTCAGAACATCCACACTTACTACTGTGCAATCTATATCTACAGAACCTTAAATTCCAATATTAACCTTGACCTAAAACGCTTTCTTGATAGTTGTGACAGGATCCACGGGCATAACACCAGACACAAACATCTCTATGACATTCCCCGTGTTCGACTAAACCTTTACAAAAATTCAATGTATTTCAAAGGACCTAAAATCTGGAACACCCTCCCTGAAAACTCTAGAACTGCAAACACATTCATCACTTTCAAAACTACAGTTAGAAAACATCTTATCTCCCTGATACACCCCGACAACTAACTACATGATAACCACCTGGTGGTTCACAATTACACTCACTCACCCACTGACTATAAACCAAGAAATACTAATCTTAATCTTAAAATAATAAATCCTAACTAGTCATAAGTTTGCCTATGATACTCCAATATAGACACTTTGTATTGTGCCAAAACAAAAGCATTCACATTGCTAAACTCACAAATTATGATGTAGTCACTTAGCCTTAATACCATAATCTGTAAGGATTTAATGTTAAGAGTTAATCTACGTCTGCTCGAAATGCCTAGCCATGCTAGGTGTCTTAGTGGCCCCCTCTGTAATTAGTATTTTATAACATGTAAACCACACAATACCCAAAACCTGTAAACCCCACATTGTAACCCTTACAGAGAATAAACTTGAACTGAATTGAATTGAAAAATTTTGGCCCACGTAATGATAAAAAACTCGCCCAACGTGATTTGTCCTGCACGCGTCCCACGTGTGGCCTGAGTGCGCCTCAGCTGCCCCGTGGGTGCCAGTGTTTACAAGCCAGCCAGTACGGTCGCATCTACGCATACATTCGGTACATTTCACATTATCCCAGTGTTTTTAGTGCTTGTAACTGCAAAATAAGTTACCAAGGGCCCCAAGAAAGCTTCTAGTGCCAACCCTGTGGTAAAAAGAGTGAGAATTAGTATGGAAATTAAGAAAGAGATAATTGCAAAGTACGAAAGTGGTGTGCGTGTCTCAGAGCTGGCCAGCTTGTATATCAAACCCCAATCAGCCATTGCTACTATCTTGGCCAACAAAATGGCAATCAAGGCAGCTGTTCTTGCAAAAGGTGCAACTTTGTTTTTGAAACAGAGATCGCAAGTACTCGAAGATGTTGAGAGACGGTTATTGGTGTGGATAAATGAAAAACAGATAGCAGGAGATAGCATCTCTCAAGCGATCACATGTGAAAAGGCTAGGAAGCTGCATGACGATTTAATTAAAAAAATGCCTGCAACTAGTGGTGATGTGAGTAAATTTAAGGCCAACAAAGGTTGGTTAGAGATTTAAGAATCGTAGTGGCATTCATAGTGTGATAAGGCATGGTGAGGCTGCCAGTTCAGACCAAAAAGCGGCTGAAAAATATGTGCAGTAATTCAAGGAGTACATAGAGGCTGAAGGAGTGAAACCCCAACAAGTGTTTAATTGTGACAAAACAGGCCTGTTTTGGAAGAAAATGCCAAACAGGACCTACATTACTCAGGAGGAAAAGGCATTCCCAGGACATAAGCCTACAAAAAACATGCTTACTCTTTTGTTGTGTGGTAATGCTAGTGGTGATTGCAAAGTGAAGCCTTTATTGGTGTATCATTCTGAAACTCCCAGAGTGTTCAGGAAAAACAATGTCCTCAAGGCTAATTTGTATGTGATGTGGAGGGCAAACAGTAAGGCATGGGTCACTAGGGACTTTTTCTATGACTGGTTTCACCATGCATTTGCCCCCCCCCCCAGTGAAAAATTACCTCCTGGAAAATAAATTGGACCTTAACCCTTAAACGGTCCAAACGTTTACATATGTTCACGTGCGTAGCACCCCAAACATATATATACGTTTTCTTTGTCATTCATTCAACACTGCCACGATAAGCCTGAGTCACCTGGAAATGAGAGAATGGGTGTGTGCACTCAATGTGCACCATATTAAAATAATTGGGGATGCCTGGGTACCATATGCTATTTTTTCCTATTAAAAAAAAAAAAAATTCTCAAAAAATTTGGGGCACTACGCAAGTGAACATATATATACGTTTGGACCGTTTAGGGGTTAAGTGCCTCCTGGTATTAGACAATGCTCCTGGTCATCCTTTAGACTTGGCAGAGTGAATTTCTGGGGACATGAGCTTCATCAAGGTCAAGTTTTTGCCTCCTAATACCACTCCTCTACTGCAGCCCATGGACCAGCAGGTCATTTCAAGCTTTCAAAAACTCTACACAAAAGCTATGTGTCAAAAGTGCTTTGAAGTGACCTCAGACACTCGACTGACCCTAAGAGAGTTTTGGAAAGATCACTTTAGTATCCTCAGTTGTGTAAACCTTATAGGTAAGGCTTGGGAGGGAGTGACTAAGAGGACCTTGAACTCTGCTTGGAGGAAATTGTGGCCAGAATGTATAGAAGAGAGGGATTTTGAAGGGTTTGGGGCTAACCCTGAGAAGCCTATGCCAGTTGTGGATTCTACTGTGGCATTGGGGAAGTTCTTGGGGATGGAGGTTAGTGGGGATGTGGAAGAGTTGGTGGAGGAGGACAATGAAGAACTAACCACTGATGAGCTGCAAGAGCATCTGCAACAGCAAGAGGCCACACCTGAGGAAACTGCTTCAGAGGAAGGGAGAGAGAAATTGAAGAAGTTGCCTACTTCAAAGATTAAGGAAATATGTGCAAAGTGGGTTGAACTGCAAACCTTTATGGATAAAAATCACCCTGACACAGCTATTGCAAGCCGTGTTGGCAACCTGTACAATGACAATGTTGTGGCCCATTTTAGGAAAATCTTAACGCAAGGTACAGAGCTCTATGGACAGATTTGTTGTGCGACAGAGGTCCCAGAGGTCCATTGACTCTCAAGCTGGTCCTAGTGGCATTAAAAGAAGGGAAGAAACCCCAGAAAAGTACTTGCTACCTCAAGTCCTCATGGAAGGGAATTCCCCTTCCAAACAATAACAACTTCTACCATCTCTCCTCCCATCCCATTAATCATCACCAGATCTTCAATAAGTGTCATGTATTCTTTATTTAGTACAGTAGTAATTGTGCATGTCGTCTTCTGTTTGTGTGTAGGAAAATGTATATTTCATGTGGTAAAATTTTTTTTTTCATAATTTGGGGTGTCAGGAACATATTAATTTGATTTCCATTATTTCTTATGGGGAAAATTAATTCAGCTAACGATAATTTCGTCTAACGATGAGCTCTCAGGAACGGATTAATATCGTTAGGCGAGGGTCCACTGTAATAATAATAATAATAATAATAATAATATAATAATAATAATTATTATAATAATATGTACGTACTAATAATAACGATAATACATAATAATTATGTATAATATGATATAATACTGTATAATAATAATATAATAATACATAATAGTACAATAATAATTATAATAATAATACTACATGTATGTATGTACTGCATGTAATTTAGCTTGACAACACCACCACCAGATAGCACTGTCAATCAAAACAATGCTCACCAGTGCACATGTGCTTACAGTGCTACCCTCACGGTGCAAGGAATGCTTGTGATTTCCTTACGTTTTGTGCAGTTAATTTGCCAGATTTTTTTCTTCTAACCATGGGTCCTAAGAAAGCAAGTGCAAAGGACAGTGCCGAGAAGAAAAAGAGGATGATCTGCATGGAATTAAAGCAAGAAATTATTGATAACCACAGACTAGGTAAGAGGGTTAAGGACTTGGCGAGTGAGTACACGCGTAGCCCCTCTACTATATGTACAATACTAAAGCAGGAGGAGTGTATAAAGGCTTTAGTGCCAGCAAAGGGTGTTACAGTAATTTCTAAGCAGTGGACCTCTGTCAATGAAAAGATGGAAAAGCTGCTGTTGACATGGTTGACGGAGAAACAGCTCACAGGAGATACTGTGACTGAGGGTATCATCTGCGAGAAGGCATGAGGCATTTACGCTGATTTGCTGCAGAAGACCCCAGGCACATCAACGGACGAGGCATCAGAAACGTCTTTAAAAGGAGGTCTAGCATTCACTCTGTCATCAGGCATGGTGAGGGAGCAAGCTCTGATGTGAAGGCAACTGAGGATTTTATCAAAACTTTTGCAGAAGTGGTAGCAGATGAAGAATACATCCCTCAGCAAGTCTTCAACTGTGACGAGAAAGGGCCCTTCTGGAAGAAGATGCCAAGGAGGACTTACATAACTGCAGAGGAGATGATGATGCCAGACCACAAACCCATGAAGGATAGGTTATCCCTTGCACTGTGTGCCAATGTAAATGGCGACCGCAAGATCAAGCCACTGCTCGTATATCATTCAGAAACCCCCAGAGCCTTTAAGTCGCATGAGATTCTAAAAGAAAAACTGCACATTATGTGGAGGGCAAACCCGAAGGCATGGGTCACCAGGCAGTTCTTTGTGGAGTGAGTAAACCTGATCTTTGGACCTACTGTTAGGAAGTATCTCCAGGAAAATAACCTACCCCTGCAAGCCCTTCTCCTCGTGGACAATGCACCTGCTCACCCACCGAACATCGCAGACGACATAATCGAAGAGTTCAAGTTTATAAAGGTTCTCTACCTTCCACCCAACACCACCCCTATCCTGCAGCCCATGGACCAGCAGGTGATTTCTAATTTCAAGAAGCTCTTCACCATGCACCTGTTCTGCCACTGCTTTGACCTGACAGAGAACACAAACTTGACCCTTTGAGAGTTCTGGAAGGACCACTATAACATCGTGGTATGCCTCAAAATTATAAATATGGCCTGGCAGGGTGTTACAAGGAGGACCTTGACCTCTGCGTGGAAGAAGCTGTGACCTGAGGTTGTGCCCGAAAGGGACTTCAAAGGATTCGAACCCACAGCGCCAGTGGTGGAGGAGATTGTGTCCCTTGGTAAGGTCATGGGCATGAAAGTGGATGAAGATGAAGTGAACGATCTCATCGAGGAGCACTCCGAGGAGCTGATGATGGAGGAGTTAGATGAACTACATGATCAACAGCAACAGGAGGTTTTGCAGGACATTCGTACCATGGAGGCACAAGATGTGGAGGAGTATATCTCCACAAGTGAGATAAAAGAAATGTTGGGAATCTGGGAGAGATTTTCAGACTTTATTGAAAAGAAACACCCAGAGAAAGTTTCGAGTGGTCGTGCATTGGAGCTATGTAATGATGCTTGAGTAAGTCATTTCCGAAACATTCTGAAAGGAAGAAACAAACCTCCTTGGAGAGTTATTTATTGAAACACCCTGCAGGTGAAAGCGTGACAAATGGAGAAAAAGCCAAAAAGTCAGTGAATACGTAGTGTAGTGAGATAAACATAAAAATTGTATATAGCAGTTCTTAATTGAAAAGTGTGAAAAGCATGGAGAAAAAGCCAAGCATCAATGAATATGTAGTGTAGTGAGATAAACACAAAAATTGTACATAGCAGTTCAAAGAAAAGTGTGAACTCCTGAGAGGATATGCCACTCTGCATTTCTTCTCCAAGGTATGTAAATGTCATATGTACACCAGATCAAATTCATCTAGCCTCACAAACTCCGTTTTCTCTTATAATAACACCCCTGATGTTTTCATAGCGAGAATGCATGACCACTCCCGACCACAATCCTCCTGCCTCCGCCGTCCATGTAACAACCCATTTTATTCATTCTAGAGTGTATATCAGGTTTCTGTGTTATTTATATTATTTATTATGTCATATTAGATGAATTGTGACAGATAAATAAGCCGTAGAGTTGTTATTAGGGTTATTTTGCCATGCCTCCTGAGAGCAGGAATTCAGCTGGAACGAATTAATTGCATTTTAATTAATTTAAATGAGGAAAATTAACCCAGCATACAAACAAATCAAGATACGAACAAGTTCATGGAATGGATTAAATTCGTAACCCGAGGTTCAACTGTAATGTATATCCAATTAATCCGTTCCAGACACCCAAAAGTATTAACAAAAATATTTTTTAGTAGATTAAATATAGATTTATATAGAGAAAAGACTGAGAAATCAAGTATAAAAGAATAATATCACACTCTCAGTGGACCTCCATTTTCGTCGATCTCCTTTATTGCCGATTTCGGTGTTGGCCGATTTTTTTCGTTGATTTTTTGGTTCTGTTTTTGTCGATTACCTCCATTTTTGTTGATCGTACGGAACCTGTCCAGTGCCCAGCATGCAGACAAAGCCGCCTCCCACACCATTCTCAGCCAGTATAGCACCGTTTCTCGGTGAGTGAACATATCCTGATGGGTCATACGAAACATTTCATAATAGCCCATTGTTTTTGCCACTTGTTTATTGTGTGTGACTGCTAAATAATCCACCATGGGCCCAAAGAAAGCTTCTAGTGCCAGCCCCTTGGTAAAGAATGTGAGAAATATGATATAATTCAAGAAAAAGTTTGTAGAAAAATACGAAAGTTGTGGTGGTAAAGGGTGATAGTGATGGTGGTAGAGGGTGGTAGTGATGGTGGTAGTGGTTGTGATGGTGGTAGAGGGTGCCTTCTTCAGTGATTCAGCAATGTTTTTGGAGTTATATAGGGCTACAGAAAACACTGCCGCCTTAGCTGCAGCCTTCACCAACATTATGTACAGCTTACGCTCACAGTGGCCCTTATACACCCAACAACAGAACACCTGTCATTACATACATAATGACTTATTTTATTAATTCTAGAGTATATGTCATGTTTCTATGTTATTAATGTTGTTTATTATGTCATAAATAGGCTGTAGAGTTGATATTAGTGTCATTTTCTCTAACAATAAACTCGCCTCCCTCTCCCCTCCGCCCGGTCTGCCATACACCAACATGTCTTTTCAATAAAGCTAAGTGTGATGTTAAATGTTCATTTATACATTTTATTAGTGCTTTATATTTATTTGTCATTCTTTTCTGCATGTAAATCTATATTTAAGCTAGGGAAGTGACCCCTGATAAGGACTTGGTACCTAGAGTCCTTATGGAGGGGGATTCCCCTTCCAAACAATAACCTCTCTTCCCTCTCCTCTCCTCCCTGTCTTCCATCCATCAACAACAGCCTTCAATATAGGTCATGTGTAATGTTCATTCTTTTGTGCATGTTAATTTATCTTTAAGGTAAAAAAAAATTTTTTTTTGATACTTCTGGGTGTCTGGAATGGATTAATTCCATTTACATTATTTCTTATGGGGAAAATGGTTTCAGTTTTGGCTGATGGCTCTGGAACGGATTAAACACGAAAACTGAGGGTCCACTGTACCTTTATTGAAGACTCTTGTTGGTGTATGGAAGACGGGAGGAGGGGAGAGGATGGAGAAGTAATACTATTGTTTAGAAGGGGAATTCCATTCCATAAAGACTTCAGGTACCAAGTCCTTATCCGGGGTTACTTCCCTTCTTTGTTTTTTAATGCCACTAGGACCAGCTTGAGAGTCACTGGAACCCTGTTGCTCAAAAGATTCTTCCAGACAGCTCTGTTTCTGGCATTTTTTTAAAATTTGCCTCAAATGGGACAAGACATTGTCATTGTACATGTTGCCGACACGGCTTGCAACAGCTTTGTCAAGGTGATGTTCCTCCATAAATGTTTGCACCTCACTCCACCTTGAAAAGTGTCCTTAAGCTTAGAAGAAGGCATCTTCTTCCATCTCTCTTCCTTGTCCTCTGAAGCAATTTCCTGAGCTGTGCTCTGTTGCTGTTGCAGATGAAGGTCTTGCAACTCTTCAGTGGTTAGCTCTTGACTGTGGTCTTCCATCAACTCTTCCACATCCTGGCCAGTCAAATCTACCTCCAGGGAATTCCCCAATGCCACAATAGATTGCACAACTGGCATATGGTTGTCAGGGTCAGCCTCAAACCCTTCAAAATCTTTGTTGAGGACACAATCTGGCCACAATTTTCTCCAAGCAGAGTTCATTGTCCTGGAAGTCACTCCCTGCCAAGCCTATGCAATTGAGGATAGTGAAGTGATCTTTCCAGAACTCTCTTAGGATCAACTGAGTGTCCGAGGTCACATCAAAGCACCTTTGAAACATTGCTTTTTTGAAGTTTGAAATGATCTGCTGGTCTATGGGTTGGATGAGAGGAGTGGTATTCAGGGGCAAGAACTTCACTGTGATGAAAGTAAATTCATCCACCATTTGGTCATCCAAGTCTGGAGGATGACCAGGAGCACTGTCCACTAGCAGGAGGCACTTGAGTGGCAATTTATTATCCAGGAGGTATTTCTTCACACTTGGGGCAAACACTTCATTGAGTCAATCGAGGAAAATTTCCCTTGTGACCCATGCCTTACTGTTAGCCTTCCACATCACACACAATTTACTCTTGGCAACACTGTTTTTCTTGAACACTGGGATTTTCAGAGTGACACACCAGTAAAGGCTTCACTTTGAAATCCCCACTAGCATTACCACAGAACATGAGAGTTAGCCTGTCTTTCATAGGCTTGTGTCCTGGCAGTGCCATTACTTCCTGCATGATGTAGGTCCTCTTTGGCATTGTCTTCCAAAAGAGGCCTGTTTCATCACAAATGAACAGGTGTTGGGGGACGAATCCTTCAGCCTCTACATAATCCATGAATTCCTGCATGGATTTTTCAGCCGCACATTTGTCAGAATTGGCAGCCTTGCCATGCCTTACCACACTGTGTATGCCACTATGCTTTTCAAATCTCTCAAACCAGCCTTTGCTGGCCTTAAATTCACTAACATCAGCACTCATTGCAGGCATTTTCTTTATGAGATCAATATGCAACTGCCTTGCCTTTTCACAAATTATCAACTGCATAACACTATCTCCTGCTAACTGTTTTTCGATGATCCACATTAACAACAAATTCTCAGTATCTTCGAGTATTTGCGATCTCTTTTTGGTGAGCATATCTACGTCTACCCCTTTCACAACAACAGCTTCCTACAATACAATTATTACAATAATGCAGCCTGCTGCATTATTGTAATAATTGTATAAATAATGTCAATCCATTCTTGACTGCGTATTGGAACTGGGACTGGCAGGCAGACAGGTACTGGACGGTGATGTCATTTGTTTACTCTTGAGCTTCGCTAAAGAATAGAACTTTTATGCTACTGTGAGCGCAATTTCAAGGTACTTTTCATCATGAAAGCAATCAAAATCATATCTATTTCTGCAATATATCTTCCATTCTACCAAATGAGACCGAAAAAACGAGAATATAACCATAAAAACCACATAAAAATATACCGCTAAGCGGCCACTAATGGCTGAGAAGTGAACTCCGCTATTTATGGTCTGATTTTTCATTTTTGGTGTACGTTGAGAAGTATCTTTCCATCATACATTGCCCAAGTTTCAATAAGATAACTCAACAAACAACTGAGAAAATAATAATAATAGTAATAATAATAATAATAATAATAATACACATACATATACAGTGGACCCCCGGTTAACGATATTTTTTCATTCCAGAAGTATGTTCAGGTGCCAGTACTGACCGAATTTGTTCCCATAAGGAATATTGTGAAGTAGATTAGTCCATTTCAGACCCCCAAACATACACGTACAAATGCACTTACATAAATACACTTACATAAATGGTCACATTGGGAGGTGATCGTTAAGCGGGGGTCCATTGTACATGGGATACAGACATAGCTGACATCAGTGACATACTACTACAGTGGTCCCTCGCTTTTCGTAGTTCTCGGCAATCGTAAATTTCGCCAATCATAGGGGTATTTTCGTATAAACATGGACTCGCTTTTCATAGGTTGACTCGCGAATAGTAGTTTGTCCGGGACGCGTACACACGGTGTGAGCCAAGGCGGCCTCCCTACCCAGCCAGTCTGGCATTGTTTACCAGTGAGTGAAGGTCCCCTCAAGTGCTCCTACAAAATATTTCATAATATTCCACTCATTTTAGTGCTTGCAAGTACTAAATAAGCTACCATGGCTCCAAAGAAAGCTCCTAGTGCCAAGCCTGTGGTAAGGAGGTGAGAAATATGTACAGTGACAAAGTCTTGGGCCATTTTAGGGAAGTGTTAAAGAGATGCCAGAAACAGAGCTCTCTCCACAGTTACTTTGCGAGACAGGACTAGAGTGACTCTCAAGGTGGTCCTAGTGGCATTAAGAAACAGAGAAGAGAAGCAACCCCAGAGAAGCAATTGGTACCTGAGGTGTTGCTGGAAGGGGATTCCCCTTCCAAACTGTAAACAATCCAATCTCTCTCCTCCAGTCTCCCATACACTAAGAAGAATCTCCAATAAAGGTAAGTGTTCTGCTGTTAATGTTTCATTCATCATTTCCCTTTGTATTGTTTATGTACTACATGTATATTTCATGTAAAAATTTTTTTGTTTTAATACTTCTGGGTGTCAGGAACGGATTAATTGCATTTACATTATTACTTATGGGGAAAATTGATTCGCAAATCGTAAATTTCGTTTATAGTAGCTCCTCCAGGAACGGATTAATTACGAAAAACGAGGGACCACTGTATACAGAAAGCCACTTGTTATGCAGAGTATTTCAAGCAAATTAGGTCAGTATCCCAGGATAACACCCACACTAGTCGGCTAACACCCAGGTACCCATTTACTGATGGGTAAACATAGACAACAGGTGTAAAGAAACACGTCTAATGTTTCTACCCTGGCTGGGAATCGAATATTTACCAAAAATCATATATGGCTAACCCAAAGCAGGTACTAGAAATAAGCCATGTTGTCTGACTTTTTTGGGTTATCCTAGGTTCTCTACACATATGCTGCTACGCGTGATAATCTATATAGAAAAAATAGCTTTTTTGTTTCAGTTTTATGGTGCAGTATGAGTGTATATCACAGTTAGCCCTGTGTTATACTCCGTTTTCTCTTATATAAGCCACCAAGACAGGGATAGGAGAATGGTACATGTATCTCATATCCTCTTCATACCTCCGTTGAACTGCTCAGTATTATGCCAAATATTATTCATTCTGGAGTATTTAACATGTTTTATGTTATTTATATTGTTTATTATGTCATATTAGATCAATTGTGATAGGCAATGAGCTGTATGTTGATATTAGCGTAATAATAAAGCATATTCCCCTGCATCACAAGACTGAGCGGATTACAGGGTGGTTAGGTTAGAATACACTTAATAAAGTTAACCAACTTTACTTACACAAGAAAGTTCACCACTGCTGCTTACAAAGTGAATAACTGAAATTTACAGCTAAATACATTTACATGTCTTGAGGTGAAGGGCTGTCAGGATTGCCATCTTCTTCATCTTGGAAGGTGACTGAGATATCAGGAACTGATGACAGTGGTAGCACATCAGGCTGAGCAGATATTGAAGGCACTAGATTTTCAAGTGGTGACTCTTCTGTTGCATGCTTTTCAGCTATTTTTTTGAACATATCTTTCAAGCTGAGTTGTTTCATATATTTTGGCCTTTCTTTGATTAGTTTGTCCTGCAGCATGTAAACATTCATTATTTCTTGTTCACTTATAAAACTTCGTTGCTCTAGATCTTTTAGCAGTTCACCTGCCAACTGAATTAACCTATCAATTGAGACTCTTTCTGCTATAGCTTCCTCATTTTCATCACTGCTTTCTCCTCCACTGGCTTGCTGCTCTGGATTTACAACCATCTGCACAATTTCTGAGTCAGTATAATGATGTACAGTAGCTGCATCTTCATCTACATTCATCCATTCCCCAACATTACCTTCATCCATCCTTGATGCAAGATCATTCGCAGCAGGATTAGTCAGATCACTGGCAAAAGAAAGCAGACTATGTATAATCTGTTTTTCCTTTGAAGCCCTAAATCCTGTAAAGTCATTTTCATTGTCTTCTCCAGGTGCAGTCTCGAACATTAACCCTGGCCACAATTTATGCCATCCATTTTTCAGTGTGGATGCCTCTACAGACTTCCAAGCATTTGCAACACAGTAAACCATATCTCTCACATTAAATTCCTTAAGAAACTCACGTACTGGTCTGCCAGAGTTAACTGCACTCAGTAGGCACCTCAGAAAATGAGTGCGATACCTAGACTTAAAAGAACGTAGTATGCCATTGTCCTGGGGTTGAATTAATGATGTGCAGTTAGGTGGGAGGTAGACACTGAAAGCATTGTTCTTTACCAGGAGTTCTGCTTTCAGATGTGCGGAACAGTTATCTAAAATAAGCATTATCTTACAGTTGTGGTCCAAACCAACAGAGTCACAGTGAGCTCTTGCTTCTGGAAGAAAATGGCTTCCAAACCAATTCAATGTAGTTTCAGTTGTTATCCATCCTTTTTTGTTGGCACGGTAAATCACAGGAAACTGTGTCATGCCTTTGAAAGTCCTGGGGCGTAAACTTTTACCGATGACCAGTAACTTGCATCTGTGCGTTCCTGCGGCATTAGAGGATGCCAATACAGTGACACGATCTTTAGATGCTTTATATCCTGTTGGTGATTCTGCATCCTCAGTTGTCAGGGTTCTTCTTGGTGTACATTTCCAGTACAATGCTGTCTCGTCTGCATTGTAGACCTGCTCAGGACTTAATTTTTCATCTGAAACTAACTTGGCGAGCTCATCAACAAATTTAGCAGCTGCCTCTGTGTCCGCTGAACGTTTTTCACCACACCACTGCATGAAACTTGAAGCCATGTCGATCTTTGAAACGCTGTAACCAACCTTCACTATAATCACATTCATAATCTAATCTAGTTCTTCATGAAAAATTTTGGCTTGTTCCTTCACCAGAGCTCCAGACAGCTGAACACCTTCACTTACACGTACCCTAAACCACTTCATCAAAACCTGATCTAGTTCTGAACTTTTTCCTTCCCTCATTGTTTTCCTTTTACACATCTGTTTCTTTGAATCACTGTTAGCAAAGAAACTCAGTAATTTTGTTTTCTGTTTCTTTATGTCATAAACTGTTGAAGAGCCAATGTTGTATAACTCGCACAAGTTCCTCACAGACACACCACTGTCAAGTTTTTTCAGAAGTTCAACCTTATCTGTTATGGACAATGTACGGTGTTTGTGCTTTACACAATGAGAAACACTTCCTTTCGTTGGAACCATGGCTAAGGTTAAAAGTGAGCAAGTTTTAGCAATAAATGGAGAGAAAAACAAATTGGAATGATTTCTGCTCTAAGTAGCGCCACCAGACAGTAGCAGCGACCCCTGGAAATTTTAACCCTTTCACACTTAATCAAAAACCCCTCACCAACATCAAGGAACCTTCCTGAGGGTTTTCCATATTGAGTTTTTATTCACACACACAAAAAAAAATAGAAGATTTACTATTATGGAGACTGCTTAATTATTGTAAAAAATGGTATAAATAATATCAGCGCATTTGTGAAAGCATATTAAACCCACCAGCTGCCATGTAATGGACGTGTGATATAATTTGTTTACACTGAACATCGGCAAAAATTGAACAATTCCACTACTTTGAGCTCAATTTCAAGGTACTTTTCTTCATGAAACCAATCAAAATCATATCTATTTCTGTAATATATCTTCCATTCTATCAAATGAGACCAAAAAAACGAGAATACAACCATAAGAACTATACGAAAATATACCACTAATGGGCAGCTAATAGCTGAAAAGTGAATTCCATTAATTATCATCTGACTTTTTTTTTGTGTTATCCTAGGTTCTCTACACATATGCTGCTATGTATGATTATCAATGTAGAGAAAATAGCTTTTTTGTTTCAGTTTTAGAGTGCATTATGAGTGTATATCACAGTTAGCCCTGTGCTATACTCCGCTTTCTCTAATATAAGCCCCAAGGGCAGGGATAGGAGAATGGTACTTGTATACCATATCCTCTTCATACCTCAGTCGATCCACTCGGTATTATGCCAAATATTATTCATTCTAGAGTTTTACAATGTTTTTGTTATTTATATTGTTTATTATGTCATAAAAGATCAGTTGTGATAGGTAAATAAGCTGTAGTGCTGATATTAGCGTAATAATAAAGCATATTCCCCTGCATCACGAGACTGAGCTCATGGCAACCGACAGTGGCTTCAAAGCCAATTTATCTTTTATGGACAGTGTACTGTGTAGGTGCTTTACACAATGAGAAACACTTCTTTTATTCATTGGAACTTTGGCTAGGGCTAAAAATAAGCAGGTTATAACAATAAATGGAGAAAAAGAAATTGGAGCGACTTATGCACCAAGTAGTGCCACCAAATAGTACCAGCAGGTTGGTGTGGCGACCCTGGAAATTTGAAATTATGCTAGCCAAAATTAGTGCCGAATAACTGAAGGAACCGAATAACTGATTGCCGGATTTGTGATGGCGGACCTGTACCATGTTTGTTGAATTTTATGAAGTTATTTTATTTTTTTTATTATCACACCGGCTGATTCCCACCAAGGCAGGGTGGCCCAAAAAAGAAAAACTTTCACCATCATTCACTCCATCACTGTCTTGCCAGAAGGGTGCTTTACATACAGTTTTTAAACTGCAACATTAACACCCCTCCTTCAGAGTGCAGGTACTGTACTTCCCATCTCCAGGACTCAAGTCCGGCCTGCTGGTTTCCCTGAACCCCTTCATAAATGTTACTTTGCTCACACTCCAACAGCACGTCAAGTATTAAAAACCATTTGTCTCCATTCACTCCTATCAAACACGCTCACGCATGCCTGCTGGAAGTCCAAGCCCCTCGCACACAAAACCTCCTTTACCCCTCCCTCCAACCTTTCCTAGGCCGACCCCTACCCCGCCTTCCTTCCACTACAGACTGATACACTCTTGAAGTTATTCTATTTCGCTCCATTCTCTCCACATGTCCGAACCACCTCAACAACCCTTCCTCAGTCCTCTGGACAACAGTTTTGGTAATCCCGCACCTCCTCCTAACTTCCAAACTACGAATTCTCTGCATTATATTCACACCACACATTGCTCTCAGACATGACATCTCCACTGCCTCCAGCCTTCTCCTTGCTGCAACATTCATCACCCATGCTTCACACCCATATAAGAGCGTTGGTAAAACTATACTCTCATACATTCCCCTCTTTGCCTCCAAAGACAAAGTTCTTTGTCTCCACAGACTCCTAAGTGCACCACTCACCCTTTTCCCCTCATCAATTCTATGATTCACCTCATCTTTCATAGACCCATCCGCTGACACGTCCACTCCCAAATATCTGAATACATTCACCTCCTCCATACTCTCTCCCTCCAATCTGATATCCAATCTTTCAAAAACATGCCATAATTCTGCAATGGTGTAATGGAGAAAACGTGGTAAAGGAACCCGTGGTAACAGACAGTCTACTATAGTCCTAATACTTAAACTGTTATGCATCCATTTCAGTTCATCATACACTGGAACATAAATCTTAAAAACCATTAAACAGATACATTTTGTTCATTTTAAAAGGGAAATCTCAAGGTTCGTGCATTTATTAAGACAAAACTTAGTGACAAGAAACACTGTACAAAATGAAAACTTACATGAAGAAGAAGAACACCGCCAACAAAGCTGAGACCTTGGCAGTACCCAACATCTTTATCCAATAATGAATAAGCTTTTAGTAAATTGAAAAGGGCAAGCTGGCCAGGCCCAAGTGTTTGCATGTAGTATGGATGCGTTGGGAACGTTCTACCTTTAATGGAAACAATCTTTGTTGATACTAAAGTCATGTTAATTTTAAAAACAGTGCATTTTTTAAATTTTCAAATATTATCAAGTATACTTCATTCATTAACCTCTCTCAGTAACCTATGATAGTTTCCATATGAAATGGAAAGGCTCCAGCAAAATGCAAGTCATCTCCACTGTGAATTCTGAAGCCTTCTTATAATGAATAAATTATATTTAATGTAATTTGGAAACTAATAGTGCTTTTTCATTATACACTGCTCTTTCATCATACACTGTATACACTGAACACTAGTGACATGTGAGACCTACACAGGTACAGTATTCATTCAAAAATTCTTTTAGTTACATCCCTTATAACACACCTTTTAACAATTCAAAGAGCATTGGCTATCTCTTACCAGCCACAACCATCTTAAATAAAGAGGGTAAATATATCTGGGGTGGAAAGCAAGGGGGGGTAGGGGTGTCTCATGAATGGATGGAATGAGGGAGGTAAAAGAAGCTTTGAGTTTCAGGGGCTTCTGTATCCAGCAGGCTTGTGTGAACATGTTAGACTGGAGTGAATGGAGACCAGTGGCTTGTAATGGACATGCTATTGGAGTGTTAGTGAAGTAACACTTATGAAGGGATTCGGGAAAACTGGTTACCCAAATTTGAGTCCTGTAGGTGGGAGGGGCAGTGCCTACACTCTGCAGGAGGGGTGAGGATGCTGCAGTTAAACGGTAATTCAAATTGTGATCTCAACACACTTTTGACAAGAAAGCAAATTAATGAATGATGAATGTAACAAAAAAAAAAATTAGTGAAGGTAACCAAATAATTCATAAAGAAAAAATTCATGAACAATGAACTGTACTGCATAATAGCCTTTCCAAAACAGTAATGTTTCATTAAATACTGAAGTATGAACCAACCTAAGTCAATAAGTATAGCATGGTGCTGTGAAGTGAGCTCTTTGATCATACTCTCATAAGGCAAGTTATAACCAGGAATCTGTGGCTCAAGTTTCTGATTCTGTGCCATGTACTGTTGCATCATCAACTGCCAGGCTTCACCACGTACTGACTTAGGAATACCTGCCAGTGAAAAGAAAAACATCAATATCATATGCAAATAAATATCTGAAAAAGTAGTGTATAATAATATAACTATAAAGTAAAGGCCTATCTTACATCCTTGAATTGTATATTGTTAATTACGATCTCATAATTTTTAATTGTTATTTTTACACACACACACACACACTGAAGAATGGACAGTGAATCGAACTGTCATCTTGACACATAGCGGGGCCAGTGTTGTGCCGTTGGGGAAGTGGAACAGAATTCTTCCTCCGTAAGCCATGCATGTTGTAAGAGGTGACTAAAATGCCAGGAGCAAGGGAATAGTAACCCTTTCTCCTGTATATATTACTAAATGTAAAAGGAGAAACTTTTGTTTTTCCTTTCGGGCCACCCCCACCTCGGTGGGATACGGCAGGTGCGTTGAAAGAATGAAGAATTTACTATCCCAACTTCCCATCAGGGTAGGACAATGCAAAGAAACAAATTCAGTCATTCACTCAATACTCGTCTTGCTAAAAGTGCGCAAACATCACAATTCAAATAACACTCCAAACTGCAACATATCCACCTCTCCTTCAGAGTGCAAGCATCATACTTCCCCCACTTTCAGAACCAAAGTTTCACTAATTGGAGTCTCTGAATAATATTTAACAACTGAAGACCCTTTCCCCTTCCCCATTTAGGGCAAACAAGTCATTTTTTCTTAGAATGAAAAATGGTAAAGCAGCTGGAACTGATGGGATCATGACAGAAATGTTAAAAGCAGGTGGGATAAAGTTTTAGAGTGGTTGGTACTTTTGTTCATTAAATGTGTGAAAGAGGGGAAGGTATATAGGGATTGGCAGGGAGCATGTACAGTTCCTGTATATAAAGGGAAGGGGGGGACAAAAGAGAACGTAAAAAGTGTAAAGTGTATAGTAGGGTTATTACTGAAAGAATTAGAGGTAAGACAGAGAGCAGGGTCAGAGACAAACAAGGAAGCTTTAGAATGGGTAGGGAATGTGTAGACCTAGTGTTTGCACTGAAGCATATAAGTGAACAATATTTAGATAAAGGTAGGGAAGTTTTCATTGCATTTATTGATTTAGAAAAGGCATATGATATGGTGGATAGGCAAGCAATGTGGCAGATGTTGCAAGAGTATGGCATGGGTAGTATGATACTAAATGTTATAGAGAGTTTTATGAGGATAGTGAGGCTCAGATTAGGGTGTGTAGGAGGGAGATTAATTTCCAGTAAAAGTAGGCCTTAGACAGGGATGTGTAATGTCACCATGGTTGTTTAAAATATTTATAGATGGGGTTGTAAAAGAAGTAAATGCTAGGAAGATGGAGAGAGAAGTGGGATTAACCCTTTCAGGGTCGAGAGGCCCTCTCCTAAACTGTTCTCAGGGTCGAAAAATTTTCGGAAAAAAAAAAAAAATATTTTTCTCATGAAATGATAGAGAATCTTTTCCCAATAATGACACCAAAAGTATGAAATTTGATGGAAAACTTACGGAATTATACTTTCGCGAAGTTAGCAGTATCGCCGATGTTCACGCATCGGCGATTTCGCCAAATTTGAGCCCTATTTTCAGCCAATTCCTCTGTACTAGCCGACAAAGATCATATTTATTTCGCTAGAACTCCATTTTTTCTATCGAATGAGTACAAGAAACCACCCATTTACCAATTTCAACTATCCAATAAAGTGGCTAGAAATTGGCAATATTGCCAATTTCACACAAATTTCAGAAGATGCCAATTTCCAAACAGTGTCCAGAATAAACAAGACAGACATTCCTGGCACTAAAATAACAAGTCCTCTGTTCGTTAGTCACGTCCCCAGGCCCCTCTTATATTTCTTTTGCTTTCCACTTTGAATTTTTATTCTTACAAAAATAGAAGATTTACTGTTATGCAGACTACTGCATTAGTGTAGAAATGGTATAAATAATCACAGCGCACTTGTGAAAGAATATTAGACTCACCAAGTGACGTGTATTGGACGCTTGGCATGATTTGTTTTGAACTTTGGTAAAAATCGAACATTTCTGCTACTTTGAGTTTAATTTCAAGGTACTTTTCATTGTGAAACCAATCAAAATCATCTCAATTTCTGTAATATGTCTTCCATTCTATAAAATGAGACCAGGAAAACTGGAATACAACAATAAATATCATACAAAAATACAGTGCAAAGTTGCTGTTTTAATCCAAAAACACAAAGTTTTTTTTTCTCATTACGCACCGTGTGCTGCAGGATTTTTTTTATACTGCGCACACTGACCACATAGATCCATTCTTTCATATGTAGGCCTACCAGCTTTCTCTCGATAGATCTGAAGGTGCTAGAATTTAGGCGTTCTAGTACGTCAATAACCCTGGTGCGTAAGCCATACTAGTACGTTGAAAACCCTGAAAGGGTTAAATTATGGGGAATCAAATACAAAATGGGAGTTGACACAGTTACTTTTTTGCTGATGATACTATGCTTTTGGGAGATTCTAAAGAGAAGCTGAAAAAGTTGGTGGACGAATTTAGGAGGATGTGTTAAGGTAGAAAGTTGAAAGTGAACATAGATAAGAGTAAGGTGATGAGGGTATCAAACGAGTTAGGTAAAGACAATTGGATATCACATTGGAGGGAGGGAGTATGGAAGAACTGAATGTTTTCAGATATTTGGGAGTAGACATGTCAGCAGATGAGTTTATGAAAGACATGGTAAACCATGGAAATGATGAAGGAAAAAGGGTGTGCAGTGCATTGAGGTATCTGTAGAGACAAAGAACATTATCCATGGAGGCAAAGAAGGGAATATATTAGAGTACAGTGGTACCAACACTCTTATATGGGTGTGAAGCATGGGTTGTAAATGATGTAGCAAGGAGAAGGCTGGAGGCAATGAAGATGACCTGTCTAAGGGCAACGTGTGGTGTAAATATTATGCAGAGAATTCATAGCGTGGAAATTAAGAGGTGTAGAGTTAACAAAAGTATTATTCAGAGGGCTGAGGAGGGGTTGTTTAGGTGGTGTGGTCATTTAGAGATGATGGAGCAAAACAGAATGACATGGAGGATTCATCTGTAGTGGAGGGGAGGATTGGGGTAGAGAATGTCCTAGAAAAGGATGGAGAAAGGGGGTGAAAGAATTTTTGTGTGCAAGGGTCTTGGACATACAGGAAGCATGTGTCAGTGTGTTAGAAAAGAATGAATGGAGACAAATGAATTTTGGGACTTGACGAGCTGTTGGAGTGCAAGCAGGGTAATATTTCATGAAGAGATTCAGGGGAAACCAGTTAGCCAGACTTGAGTCCTGGAGGTGGAAGTACAATGCCTGCACTTTAACCCATTAACTGTCCAAATGTTGATCTATGTTTTTACTGATAGCACTCCAAATATTTTTATTTTAATTTTAAATGGAGAGGGTAATTTTCTATGTGTAATAAGACCAAAACAAAAAAAAATAGGTTGGTAGACAGCAACCACCCAGGGAGGTACTACCGTCCTGCCAAGTGAGTGTGAAACGAAAGCCTGTAATTGTTTTACATGATTGTAGGATTGCTGGTGTCTTTTGTCTGTCTCACAAATATGCAAGATTACAGGTACATCTTGCTACTTCTACTTACACTACACATACATGTACATGCTTATTTATACACACACATCTGAGTTTTCTTTGGTTTTATCTTAATAGTTCTTGGTCTTATTACTTCTCCTTTTATATCCATGGGGAAGTGGAATAAGAATCTTTCCTCCATAAGCCATGTGTGTTGTAAAAGTCAACTAAAATGCCAGGAACAATGGGCTAGTAACCCCTTTTCCTGTAATAATTACTAAAAAGAATAAGAAGAAGAAAATTGTCAAAGTGGGAAGTCTGAATGTACATGAATGTTGTGCAAATGATAAGAGATGATTGTGGATGTTATGAATGAGAAGGTAGTAGGTTGGTAGACAGCAACCACCCAGGGAAGTACTACCGTCCTGCCAGATGACTGTGAAACAAAAACCTGTAACTGTTTTGCATGATGGTAGGATTGCTGGTTTCTTTTTCTGTCTCATAAACACGCTAAGATAACAGGGATATCTTGCTACTCCTACTTACACTTTGGTCACACTTCACAGACACGCACATGCATATATATATATACATACATCTAGGTTTTTCTCCTTTTTCTAAATAGCTCTTGTTCTTTTTTATTTCTTCTATTGTCCATGGGGAAGTGGAAAAGAATCTTTCCTCCGTAAGCCATGCGTGTCGTATGAGGCGACTAAAATGCCGGAGCAATGGGCTAGTAACCCCTTCTCCTGTATACAATTACTAAAAAAGAGAAGAAGAAAAACTTTATAAAACTGGGTTGCTTAAATGTGCGTGGATGTAGTGCGGATGACAAGAAACAGATGATTGCTGATGTTATGAATGAAAAGAAGTTGGATGTCCTGGCCTAAGCGAAACAAAGCTGAAGGGGGTAGGAGAGTTTCAGTGGGGGGAAATAAATGGGATTAAATCTGGAGTATCTGAGAGAGTTAGAGCAAAGAAGGGTAGCAGTAATGTTAAATGATCAGTTATGGAAGGAGAAAAGAGAATATGAATGTGTAAATTCAAGAATTATGTGGATTAAAGTAAAGGTTGGATGCGAGAAGTGGGTCATAATAAGCGTGTATGCACCTGAGGAAGAGAGGAATGCAGAGGAGAGAGAGAGATTTTGGGAGATGTTAAGTGAATGTATAGGAGCCTTTGAACCAAGTGAGAGAGTAATTGTGGTAAAGGGGGCTTGAATGCTAAAGTAGGAGAAACTTTTAGAGAGGGTGTGGTAGGTAAGTTTGGGGGGCCAGGTGTAAATGATAATGGGAGCCCTTTGATTGAACTTTGTATAGAAAGGGTTTAGTTATAGAAATACATATTTTAAGAAAAGAGGTAAATAAGTATACACGATATGATGTAGGGCGAAATGACAGAAATTTGTTGGATTATTATTGGTAGATAAAAGACTGTTGAGTAGACTTCAGGATGACATGTTTATAGAGGGCC